CTTGCAACTCTATGGCTCTTTCTGTCCCCTAAAATCCTTTTCAGTCTGCACACAAATAGGTATTTAACAGACAGGTGGGATGCACCACTCATTCTGGAACTAATAAATCTGATAAAATGATATTTTACCACCTTGCAAATGTTTCTCTCAGCCTGCACTTCTTATCACCCCTTCCAGGAACACTTAGAGGTGAGCTCTGAAATATCAAATTTTTGTAGGAAAACCAAATGCCTGATCTTTTATGGAGCCAGCTTCCCTTCATATGTCTTGAATCACAGAACCACAGGTTAATTTAGATTGGAAGAGATCTCCAAGGGTCCAACCTCTGCCCAATCTCCACCTTGTCACCTAAACCAGAGCACAGTGGAAGCTCCCAGGAAGAATGTCCAGGATGTCCAACTACTTGAGAACTTTATATCATTGCCTGCACATAAAATATCTCCTGGTTTTTCTCTGTGTTTATTTCATTTTAGTGGAGCATGCTTTGAAGCTTTTCACTCGTGTTGAAATCCTGAATGTCACAAGGAGCATTAAAGCTTTTCCTTCCTGTTCTTTCAACCACAGCCAGAGGGAAGGCAGGAACCTTCCAGAGCACCAAAAGCTGAACAGAGCAGGTGGGGATGACCCCAGTTATCCTGTTTTTCTGCCCGGAATCTTGCTCCCAAACTCTTCCTTGTTCTCCTTGTGCTCCCATGGACAATGACCGAAGTTTGGGCCCCAGCTGGGTTTCCCGCTGTGTTTTTCCCATGGTGCAGACACGCAGCCCTGCAGTGTGAGGGGCGGCTCTGGTGTCTGGGGTGTCCCAGGCAGGCCCCCAGGCAGGGCTGGCCTTTGCCCATGGCTGAGCTGGCTCCTGGCTGACCCTGAGCAGGCATCCGGGCCCTTTGCCCTGGAGAAGAACGGGACAGAGCCTGCGGCACCTGCGGGGCTGCCCGAGGCTCAGATACCAAGAGGGGGTTTCTGAGGCAGCTTGCAAGGCTGGGTAAGCGAGCCCCTTCTGCCTGAGGCTTCTCAAACATTTCCTTCCATTATTTCCATTAAATCTGGAGAGTCTTTTCCCTTCTTCACCTTGAGCCAGCCCCGTGCTGCTGGGATTCCACCTGCCTGCAGGCCTGGAGCATTCCCTGCTCCTCTATCTCCTGTTTTTCCTGTGGAGCACAGTTCACCACAGCATGAATCAGATGAGACTCTGATTTCCATTCCTGAGCTGATAGTGGAGGGTAAAGTGCCACGGACGTGCAGATTCCAATTTGGGGTAATTTTTGTACTCCTGGCTCCCCTTTATTGCCCTGCTGCCATCCCTGGCTGCAGTGCCCTCCCTTCCCTTCTCCCTTCCCTTCCCACTGCCTGGAGTTCACCCAGCCCTTGGAAAATTAGAGGCAAACAGTTTGAACTTGTTGAGAGGAACATGCCCAAGGAAGCAGAGGATCATTTTCCCTGATTATTAAGTGCATTCCATTCCACACTTGTTTTGACATTGTCCCTCGGAGAAAAATATTTTGTTTTATGGAGAGGCCTCATTGTTGCTTTTCCTGTCAGGGATTATTGCTCCATAAGTGTTCAGCTCCATCCAAACCCTACAATGCAAAGTTCTGTAAAATTCCTCCTGGACCCAAGTCCTACAGCTGAGGTTTGACTTGTTGGGTTGTTCCAAAGCCTCAAAGATCACAGAATTGAGATAAAAAACTGTGGGCAGGAGTTGAAATTCGATGTAGTCTGTCCTCTGACATTCCCATAGCAAAGAATGGGAATAGAGGAGATAAAATGGGAATATAGGAGATAAAAATCCATCCAGGGATTGGATGAGGCATTAATGTAGTTCTAGGTGAACACACAAACAGGAAATAAAAGCTCTGGTTTTCACTCTCTTCAACTCTGATCCTCAAAAATAGCCAAGAATAAATAGAAGTGAATAAGCACAATGCTCAATTTCATAATAAAATATTCTCACTTTTTTCCAAGCCTTGCCTGAAAGGAGACATTAAAACAGATTTGAATGCAGGCACCCACACCTTGAGCTATCAACGCTCAGGTTCTCAGGGGAATTCACTCATTCACACAAGGGATCAATGAGCTGCTTCAATCCCAATAAACCTCTTGTTTCAATTATCTGAAGCCAAAACCACCTTTTTCTGCTAAAGCTACAACTCTTCCATGAATTTTCAAGAGATGTGCCACAAAGGACTGAAAATTGTCCAACTTCCTCCTTTTCTGAGAGGTGATAATGCATTAAAAACCCACCCACTCACAGGCAGTGCCAATGAACTAAAAAGGAATTTCACATCGGTAAAATGAGGCATGGGATGAATTTCCTGAACATTTGTCCTGAAATGAACTTCAGCTGGGAGCAACTCACAGAATTAAAGTTTTAGATTTTGGGTTATTTTGCACCATGAGTTGAAGTATTGACAGAGATGTGAATTCTGCCTCTGGTTGTTGAGCACAAAGGTCCTTCTCAGGCTGGAAGGGACAAACCTGAGCAAAACGGGCAAAATGGGAGCAGGGAAAGGTCTCTAAATCCCTGTGCAGGGACTGACTCAGAGCTGTGGCACATCAGCTCGGCAGGAACTGAGCACAGAGCAGAAATTCCAGGTTGCCAGGCCTGAAGACTGGAATTCTTATCCATGAAAAAGCATGGATCAGTGGCTCCAGCTTTGCCTTTCCAACTCCAACACGCCCAAAGCCTGAACAGAATTCCCTTCCTTTTGGACAGGTAAACCTCACTCCCTTCCCTGTAGGGACAGGCAATGTGGAGGTGAATTAATTCCATTAAAGCTGGGTTCCTGCTGCCTTCCCCTGAAGAGGAAACGATGCCAGGGAGGTGGCGTTGAAATGGAAATTCTGAATGAGGGCCTCGTTCCAAAGCAGCAAAGGACTGCTCTGATTTTTCCTGCTAAAGGGCTAAAGGGTTCCCAGATATTTATATTTATAGTTATATTTATATTGATATTTATTAATCCCAGGGCATCTGCTGGGGTCCTGCTCCGGAAACAGAGGGAGAGGAAAGCTCTGAGTTGGTGCCTGAAGTGGAAGCCTGGCTTGGTCACTCATTGTCTGTGCAGTTTGATAATTACCTATTTCCCAAGTCAATGGCTTTGGACATTTACTCGGAGGTAGGAGATTAATGAAGTTCTCTGCAAACCTCAGGAACCTGAAAACCCCCAAAGATTCCGGAACTGCCTTTTCCAGGTCAGCGGCTGCTGGTGACCCAGCAGAGGGCACAGATTCACAGATTTGTGCCTGAGCTGGTGCAGAGCCCACCCAAACCTCCCTGGATCTCTGGGTCCACTGCATTGAAATAGCGAAAATCCCGAGCAGTTCGGTAAATATCCACCCGTGATTTCCTGCCCAGGAGCAATCAGGGTTTCGAAACTGCTGCTAACGAGGCTGTCAAGGTCAGTTCAGCGAGATAACAGCGCTGCTCTCCGAGGGTTAAACCATCACAAGGGTTGTGAGCAGCGGAGATGCCTGGAACCCAACAAACTCTTTCTCAGCACTTCTTCCATCCTGGCACAGCTCCCCTGGCTCTCATGCAGTAATGTTAATTTAGGGTGCTGTAAGAAGAGGCTTGGTGGGGTTTTTTTGTCCCGGGATTTTGGGCAGATCCCCCCATGGACCTGCACCTCAGCACGAGCTCTCTGGGGATGGATTTCCCATCCTCACCCTGCCAGGAATGCTGCTGAGGGATGGCATTTTAAAAAATATACATCATTTCTACTGATTCTGCAAAAATTCCAGCTATTTTCACCTTTACCCAGAACTTTCCATGGATTTTATCTTGTCCCAGTCCCTTCCCTGGGACCTCCATGCCAGGGCAGAAGCGTGTTCAGACTGTGCCAAGGGGGCAGAAGCCTCTTTTGCAAAGCTGCAAAGATTTTAAAATAAATAATGAAACAGTAATTCTAGAGAAAAAATAGAGCTCTTTATTTTCTTACAAAACTGCCTGGAAATATTCAGATAATGCACAAATTGTTTTATACATTGTTATGGGGGTACATTTACATGTCTGAGCATAACAGAGGAGAACGAATGAAAAACGAGGACAGATCAACGAGTACTAAGAACTTGCAGCATTTCAACATGTAAAAAAATAAATTCAGGGTTGTATATAGAGATAAAGCTGAGGTTGAAACTGCAAAAGTGTAAAAGCAGCGACCATAACAGCCAGAATCCAGTACTGCATGGAGGGCAGTGACAATTTTAACCTTTGGGTATTGCAGTCTCCATGAGGAATAGACCCCCTGGAAATGGTTAGGGTCCTCATTTCCTGTGGAACTGTCCTTGGAACCATAATTTTCTGTTCTTCATCTCATGCAACTGTCCTGTCAGGACCATCATTGTTCTGCAGAGGCAGAACCCATAGGATTCCAGTGGTTCCATTTCTTTTCGTGCAACGAAAGACCACAAAGCTTTTACAGTAAAAGTGGGATAAAATGGGTAGTGCAGGAGCTGGAGGGATGGAAATCCATGGGGAGGAGCAGAGGGTGTGTCAGAGACCAGCCTGCAGCTGCTCAAAGCAAAGCAATAAATCCTGCCAGATGCATTTGTCCCTGTTTCCCTCCTGCCCAGGATGCCAAGGAAATGTATTTCTTCCATTATCCCAATTTCCCAGCCCTGTTTTAGCCTTTTCCAGACTCCCAGCTCCCTTCTCTGGCAATTTGAGAAGGACTGGGGCAGTTCCCTCTCCCACCCCGAGCTCCCAGGGCCAGTCCAGCCCTGGCTGGTCCCAAACTGGAGGCAGCTCTCCCCAAACTGGGCTGTTCAGCACCCCCAGGGCTCCTGGTCCTGCACTAAATCCCTGGATTTCCACAGCTCCATGACAGCACTTGGCATTTTCCTCTCCTTTTAGGCACATTTTCCCCAATAAAACAGTCTGGAGCTTTTCCTGGTGCTGCTCCTGGCTCAAGGGATGTGGTGCAGCTCCTCCCTGGAGCCTCCAGAGTTTTGGCTCCCACAGCTGATGTCTCTCTCTCAAGAGCAGGCAGCAGCAGGGCTGTCCTTTATTTCTTGCAACCTGCATTGAGCAAAAAAAAAAAAAAAAAGAATCTTTATAGAGATTATGTCCAAGCAAACAGCACTGAACAAACAAACTCCAGTTAAAGGAGTGAATATTCAGATTATACTGGGGGATATTTTTTTCCTGGGATGTTGGCTGGCAAAAAAATATCTTCACCAGCATTGAAATGTCCTGAATTTCTGTTGGAGGATTTCATTCTGGATCAGAGACTTGTTTTCTCAATTTAGGTTGTAAGTTATTTTGTTAGCTTGTTTGTATAAACTTGTGAGAAAGAAAATCCTACATTCAAAATATCTAAGTTGCAACACATCATAACTATTTACAAATAGATTTCTCTTTGTCCTTCTGCCTCAAATAAAGTTTTTTGTTATCTAAACTCTGCAGTGAGCAGTTCCTTCACTAAGGCATCTTCTATTTAATCTGCAAATTAATGCTCAAGATCAAGTGGTCTTCTATAGGAAATATCTTTGGGACTGCATGTGGAGTTCTAACAAACCCTGGCTGTTATTTTCTGCAGCAGTGGGTATGTGTTGATTTCCCCCTTTTTGAGCTGCATCCTGCACAGAAAACGTGGCTAGAAAATTGACTCCAGAGCCACGAGCTGTGTGAAACACGGGACATTTCCTGATAAAACACCGACCTGGGACAGCATTAATTAGCTAAAATTAATTACAGGATGGCTCTGGCCCTGTGAGAATGAAGAGCAGACAGGTATCAGCTGTTTACCCTCCCATTGGCACAGAAATGCCAGCCCAGGTGCCAGCAGAGCCTGCAGTGTGCAGGAGCACAGGAGCACAGGTGAGTGTTTTATCCCCAAGCAGCACCCAGGTGTGTGTTTGTGCCCAAGCAGAGCACAGGTGTGTGTTTATCCCCAAGCAGAGCACAGGTGAGTGTTTTGTGTGCACAAGCAGAGCACAGGTGTGTATTTTTGTGCACAAGCAGCACCCAGGTGAGTGTTTTATGCCCAAGCAGCACCCAGGTGTGTGTTTGTGCCCAAGCGGACCCCAGGTGTGTGTTTTATCCCCAAGCAGCACCCAGGTGAGTGTTTGTGTGCCCAAGCAGAGCACAGGTGAGTGTGTTTATGCCTAGGAAGACCCCAGGTGAGTGTTTTATCCCCAAGCAGCACCCAGGTGTGTGTTTTATGCCCAAGCAGCACCCAGGTGTGTGTTTTATCCCCAAGCAGCACCCAGGTGAGTGTTTATCCAGACCTGCTCGTGGCTGGAGGGCGATGGGCAGGGCCCTGCCAGGGACGAGGATCCCCGAGTGCAGCGTCTCCAGCGGCGCCAGGTCCGTGGGCAGCACGCGGTACCTGCGGATCAGCTGCAGGGACACAGCGCCAGCTGTCAGTGCAGCAGCCCAGCCAGGGACCATAACCTGCTCTGGCTGCATCATTCAGGGGGCTGAGCAATTGCCTCATTCAGCTATGCTATATTAAACTCTACTACTATACCAAAACTGTGCTATAGCACACCAAAGACAAACCCATGACCCTTTCAGACAGTCACGGCACAGCTTTGACCCAATCAACCCAACCATCACCAGGGTCCAGTGAAGAAATCACTCTCATAAACTGTTGAGAGTTTTTTGCAGATTGAGGGGTTCTTGCAGGACAATGGCCATGTTCAGCCAATGCACAATCCAGCCTGCTTGGACTAATGGACAATGGACATGCTCCCAAACAATGAATAATGGACAAGTTCAGAAATGGGGTCGGTATATTCTTTAAAAAGATACAAGAAGAAGAGGCATCAGGACTCAGCAGGTTTGTCAGTGAGCTTGGGAAAGTAAGAAAAAAGAGAAGTCATGGGTGGGCCAGACGAGCACAGCAATACACATGAAAAATCAGGTGATCCCACCAGCATTCTAATTTAGACACATGAACAGCTGGGATTAACCAATCGTGTATTAGCTAGAGACACATGGACAGAAGAGATTTATTATAACTATAATCTTTTTAGGGATCATAAATTTGGCTTCACTGGATCATATTGGTTATGGTGTGACGCCCCTGAACCTCCGCACCCCACAATAAACAATCCCCATAACACATTCCACATGTGCCAAACAACAGCAGCACAAACAGAGATAAGAATTGTTTTCTCTTCTCTGAGCTTTCTCACTGCCTTCCCCGGGAAAACTCCTCGGGAAGGCTGTGCCTGCTGTGCCCACAATCAGCGTGCTGGCTGTGCCTGTGCTCAGCTGGAGGCCAAACCCCCCAGTTCCCTTTTTGGGGTGCTTACCCAGCAGAGGGCCAGGTGCAGCTGCAGCTCGGCCAGGCGGCGCCCCACGCACATCCTCCTGCCCATGCCGAAGGGCACGTGGGAGAAGGGGTGGATGGAGCCCCTGTGCAGCCAGCGCTCGGGCCTGAACTCTGCCCAGCCCCTGAAATAATCCTCACTGCAGCCCAGGGCGTGGCTGTTGATCATCAGCACCGTCTGCAGCAAGGCAGGACACAGAACAGGTCACAGAGCCACCCCCAGCTCCCCAGGATGGAGAATCGTGGCACGTGCCATGGATACATATCATAGTATTGGCTTTTGGCAGATATTAAAGTGGATTCTATAAAGTGACTTTGTTATAAAGATACAGTTTTTATTTCTGTTGTTAATTAAGCTTAGACATAGCAGTGAAATAGCTATGCTTGGTTAAAATACCTACTTAAATAAAATAACATCCAATGAACATATGAAGAAGACCCTGCTACAGAACAACTATCAACTCTCACAGCTGAAAACAGCATAGACCAAAGCCCAGAAACTAAAAGTAATAAAAGTAATGAAAATAGGCTAAAACCCACAAGCAAAGAATCTGCATGCTCTAAAAGAGTAAAACCAAACAAGAGCCATACCAAACAGTTCTTAAAATATGTAAAACTAGTTTAAAGAAAAAGTTTATTGTGCATGATTGCTTATGAATATGCAACAAACTAATGTAATAGAAATAGTAGATAAAAAGTGTTTCTAAAACAAATGTACTCTTAGCTAAGTACCAAGATACACCCAACCATAATAACCTTTACTTTATAGTCCTTGTCTCCTATTGTCCTTTAATAAACTTTTAAAATTTTCACAAGGAAGTGAATGTGTTTTTCACAGCACAGCAGCTTCCTCAGGAGAGGCCATGGAATTCCCAAAAAATCAATTGGAATGTAGAAAAGGTTGTGGTTTCCTCAGAGAATCATGAGAAAATTTGAAAATAAAGAGTTGGAATGGCTCATCAAAATTATTTCAGGCAAATATTTCTGTCTAAGTCCAGCTGCAGTGCAGGCAGGTGTGGGTTTGTGTTTATGGGAATCCTTGGGGTGAATCCCTCATTCCTTGTCCTGGTACTTTGGCAAAGCCAGTTTGAAACTGAAATATGAGCAACTTCTGTGGTTTAAAGGGCAATTAATAAATTAAAAACCATCCCAATAAACTGAATTAATTGCCTTACCCCTTTGGGCAGCATGTAATTTCCCAGAACCATTTCTGTGTCGATGGTGCGGGTGGTGAAAGGCACTGATGGGGTTAATCTGCAGGGAAAGAGGAGAACTGGTTAAATTTCTATCAAATTCCCGTCTTTCATCTCTCATATTCTCCCTCAAATAGCAAGATGAACAAAATTCCACATGCTGGAAAATTCCTTCTCCCTTGTACAAAGAAGCTGGTGAAACACTTGGGGATTGTTTTGAAGGATTCGGGGATTTTACCTCATGGATTCTTTCAGACAGGCTTTTAGGTAGGGCATGTTCCTCAGGCTCTCAGCACTCGGGCTCTGCTGAGGAGCCAAAACCCTCTGGATTTCCTGGAAAAGCTTCTGCTGGACGTGTGGATTGCGGGAGAGGTTGTACAGAGCCCACAGCAAACTGTTGGCTGTCTGGAACAAAGCAGAAAGGAAGGTGAAGCTCTCCTTTTGTAGGAGAACTTGCCCAAAATTCAAAGCAACATTTCTGGCTGGGCACAGCTTTATGGAATTTTGACAGCCTGAGGGATTACAAGCAGTCCCAGTTGTCCTGCAGAATTAAAAATCTGGGAATTTCAGGTCAAAATCCAGGGATTTCAGGTCAAAATCCATCTGCACTTGGGCCCTGAGGCCACTTCAGGATTAACTCACTTCCAGGTGTGCTGGTGCTCAGGTTGTGGAAGGAAGGGGAGAACTGGGGGTAATTTGAACCCTTGGAAAATCAATTTTACCATCTCCACCCCAACAATCTGCAGCTAAGGAAGGAATTGGGGTAATTTGAACCCTTGGAAGATCAGCGTCACCATCTCCACCTGAGTGATCTGCAGTTAAGGAGGGAATTCAAAGCCTTGGAAAATCCCAGCAATCTGCAGCTAAGGAGGGAACTCGGGGGAATTTGAGCCCTAATGTGAGGGAACTGGGGGAACTTGGGCCCTAAGGAGGGAGCTGGGAGGATTTAAACCCTGGGCACATCCCTGGTACCATCTCCACGCTGGTGATCTGCAGCTAAAGAGGGAATTGGGGGGGTTAAGCCCTAAGGAGGAAATTGGGAGAATTTAAATCCTAAGAAGGGAACTGGAGGGGAATTTGAACCCCAAGGAGAGAACTGGGTTAGGGTTAGGTATTTGAACCCCAAGGAGGGAATTGGAGGGAATTTGAGCTCTGGGCACATCCCAGGTACCGTCTTGACGCCGGCGATCTGCAGCTAAGGAGGGAATTGGGGGAATTTGAACCCCAAGGAGGGAACTGGGGGTAATTAAACCCTGGTCACATCCCAGCTACTGTCTCCATGCTGGGGATCTGCAGCTAAGGAGGGAATTGGGGCAATTTGAACCCCAGGGAGATTTAAACCCTGGTCACATCGTGGTTACCGTCTCGACGCTGGCGATTTGCAGCTAAGGAGGGAATCGGGGGAATTTGAACCCCAGGGAGGGAATTTGAGCCCTAAGGAGGGAATTGGGTGGATTTGAACGCTGGGCATATCATGGGTACCGTCTCCATGCTGGGGATCTGCAGCTAAGGAGGGAATTAGGGGAATTTGAACCCTAAGGAGGGATCTGAGCCCTGTTCCCATCATGGGTACCGTCTCGACGCCGGCGATCTGCAGCTAAGGAGGGAGCTGGGGGGATGTAAGCCCTAGGGAGGGAATTGAGGGGATGTAAGCCCTAAGGAGGGAACTGGGGGGATGTAAACCCTAAGGAGGGAACTGGGGGGATGTAAACCCTAGGGAGGGAATTGAGGGGATGTAAACCCTAAGGAGGGAATTGAGGGGATGTAAGCCCTAGGGAGGGAGCTGGGGAGATGTAAGCCCTAGGGAGGGAGCTGGGGGGATGTAAGCCCTAAGGAGGGAATTGAGGGGATGTAAGCCCTAAGGAGGGAATTGAGGGGATGTAAGCCCTAAGGAGGGAGCTGGGGGGATGTAAGCCCTAGGGAGGGAGCTGGGGGGATGTAAACCCTAAGGAGGGAACTGGGGGGATGTAAGCCCTAGGGAGGGAGCTGGGGGGATGTAAGCCCTAGGCAGGGATCTGAGCCCTGTTCCCATGGCGGGTACCGTCTCGACGCCGGCGATCTGCAGCTCGGCGATGGCAGCGTACAGCTCCTTCCTGGACAGCTGTCCCCCCGAGTAGATGTCACACAGGAAATCCCCCTGCGGGTCGGCAGAGTGCCTCTGCAGCCGGCTGTCGATGGAGTGCTTGGCTGAGGGGGGCAGAACGAGGGGAAATCACTCACAGCCCCACAGAAACACCTGCAAAGCCACAGAGGTGCCAAGCTGTGCTCTGTTTGCGGGCAGTGGGTGAATAGTGAGGGTATTTGGAGGGAATAAAGAATGGTGGTGTCGCTTTGCAAACAAACTCAGTCCCAAAAGTCACTTTTCAACAGAGGAGGAGCTCTTAGGAATTCTGCCCTCTTAAATGAGAGGAGGAAATATTCAGCAAACAGAAACACGAGTGTGTAACATTTATTACCTGGGGTTTTCAAAGGGGATCAAGGTGTTAAAAAATCAAAGGGATTTAGCACCCAGCACCCCCGAGGGGAAATGTAAACCTTGGATTTACCAGGGGAAGGCACAAAGAGATGCCAAATTTTGACATGCTGGGTTGTTGGTTTTTTTTAAATAAAAAGAAACAGGTTTTGCTCATGAGTATCCCAGCTGTTAAAAACAGTTCCTGTGAAGAGTTATTCACTTGAAGTGAAGGTGTCAAACTGGTTTTTCTGAGCAAAACTGGTTTAAAGTGTCTTTCCTAAAGCCCATAAACTAAGAAGCAATAAAATGAGTGTGTGGCTGGCAGGATAAAAAGCCTTGGGACTCAAATACCCAAGGGAAATATCTCAGTGTTACAACCTTCCAAAAGCTTTCTCAGCCTCTAGTTATGCCTCTCACTGTTTAAATCAATGAAATTTTAAAAGATTTGAAATACAAACTCAACTTCACATCTGGATTTCGAGTAATTTTTAAACTTGGAAGGCCAACTCATTTTAAATAGTCAAAAAAAGCCAAACTGCACCTTATTATTTAAATTACTTCTGGGTTTAAGATTTACAGCTATGCTACAGGTTGTTCAGAAAAGCTATAATTTCTTTTTTTTTTTTTTTTAGCAAACTGGTTTTTGCTGCATGCATAATTCTTGTTTCTCAAGAAAATGAGTCTTTCAGGGAAGTCCCTTTTCATTTATACCCTTGCCTTTATAGAGATTACACACTTTTAATTTCCTTTTAGGACAGATTAAGGTGGTGCCATGACACTGCTGGCTCCCAGAATCCTGGGATTTCCCTGGGAATGGGGTATTGCCCCACAGCCTGGGTGTTAGTCACTAAAAACTGCTCCCACATGGGAATAAATCCCTGTTTAGGTGCAGCAAATGTGCTTTAATCCGTGCTGAAGGCGGGGATTAACAGCAGCAAGCATGAAAAAATCAATTCCGGCAAGGAGAGGACAGAGATAGAGGGAAAGGAGATAAATTGGGGTTAAATAATGACCTGTTTTGAATATATCATCCCATGCTTTGGTGTGAGCTTGCCAGACTTTGGTGTTGAGCCCCTTGTGCAGCTCCACAGGGGTCACCATCATCATCCCAAACGTGGCCATCATCTGTGGGGGAAAATCTCTCTTTAATCTCTTTTCATCCCTCTCCCTGCAGCCCCTGAACAACACCAGGCTGGGAAGCACAGGGAGATTTTCAGGAAGGCAAAATTCTGCTGGATTTTCCATCCTGGACAGAGAGGATGGGTCTCAGTCTACTGAGGGCATATCCAGGTAAAAATCAGGGGCAGCCGGGAGCCTCCTCAGTAAGGAACGCAACCGATTGGTTTTGGGCACCTGTTGGGAGTGGCTCAGGGCATTTCTGGCAGTGCCTCCCTCTCCCTTGACAGCAGAGGAGCCAAAATCCCAGCAGGGCTGGCTGCCTGTGTGTGCTGGCTGAGGGGAGGCAGGTGGGACCCCAGAGCCCAAGGCACAGCAGCTCTGACCCCAAACCCCAGAGCAGGGCCCAGTCCCACCCTGCAGGGTCACCAGCCAAGCTGACAATTCTCCTTCAGGCCTGCCCTGGTGGCCACTCAGCATCTGCCCTGTCACACTGATGCTGCACACAGGTAAAAGTGTTATTAAAAAAAAAAAACTTATAAAACGTGGATTAGCTTTGCTCCCTCAGCTGACAGCAGCTTACAAGCTCCCATGTGAGAACAGCTTGAGAAAGGAGAGTTGATGAACACAACAATTAACTATTCCTGGGGGAGAAAAACAAGTGCACTGTGATAACCAGGGATCTGTCTCATGAGAATCAGTGAAAAAAATATATAAACAATTCAAGAATCGAGAGATTTGATGGACAAGTAAAACACCTTTTACTAACCAGTAGGGTAATTGGCAAGAAAGCCACTAACCAATTAATGTTGCACATGAGGTCTGTGAAATCTTTATAAAAATGGAATAAAAAGGGGCTTTTCCTGCATGGAGAAACTGAGTCCTGTCTGCTTTGTTACAACAGACTGAGGCATTGCATAAAGGAGGCAGAAGTTCAGGATTAGCTGGGCACCTGTTGGGAACAGAAGCCTGAGCTGCTTTTTCCAGCTGTCTCCTTTAAATTGCTGCCTCTCATTAACAGCAGGGGTAAAACCCAGCACAGCCCCAGGAGAGACCCTTCCATACCGTTTTTACAGCCTTGATGAAGTTCAGACTTTCTTCCTCTACGTCCTGCTGCAGGAGGCCAAACCTCTTTCCATACAGCACCAGACAGATACCTGTTGTTAGGCAATATTGTAATTAAATTAATAAACAAAGGGCCGTGTGGGATGCATCATTTATCATCAAGGAATGGCCTGGGTGAGCCTTCTGAAGGTGTTCCTGGTACAGACCTGGCAGAGCAGCACTTGTAAAACACCTCCTGCTTGTCTGCCCTGGCCCCAGTGAGGGTTTCCAGCTGGGGGCCCTGGCATTTCTGCACATGGGGAGCGCCACTGATCCCCTCACCAGCAGCAGAACTGACATTTTGGCTCAGATTTGGTGGCTTTACTGAGGAAAAGTGAGTGGCAGGAGAGCAGGGCTTGAGGAGGCATCTCCCACAGCATTCCCCCCTCCTTCCCACAGCAAGCACTGGCAGCATCCCCCTCTGCACCTTTTCCATTTGTCTTTTATTCCCCGTTTCTTTTCAAACTGTCACTTCCTATTTCTCCTTTTCCAAAAGCAGCCATCACCAGTGACAGTGAAAACAAAAATCCACGCTGAGGAGCCCAGCCCAGAGGGGGCTGAGAGGAGGCAGCCAAGGGCAGCTGGGTCTGCCAGGGCTGGTTCAGCCACTACCCCCAACCATCCCCTTTTTTTGGGAGCCACTGAGCCACTTTGTGCCCTGTGTCATCCCTGGCACATTCCCCAGTGAGCTTTGAAAGGTTCCTGAGGATGAGGCTCTGCCTTGGTAACTCATCCCAGCCCTTCTCAATCCCAGTGTAAACATTGGAAATGGGATTTTCCAGCCTTTGCCTGCAGCCAGCACTCTGTTATTGGAATATTTCATTGATCCTGCTGATAGTTAACAAATATCAGGTGGGCAAAAAAGGCTGTGTGTTATCTGATCCCACTCTAGATAAATGAACCACAACCCCCCCAATTTTTGATTTATAAATCATTGGAATGTTTGAATTTTTTGTAAACCATGTCGGTAGCTAGGCAGAAAATTACATTTGTGCTGATGAATTTTGCACTGACAGTCCCTGGCTGTTCTGCACTCTCTTTGCATGATATTATAGCTGAGAGCTTGGAAATAATCAGCCAACACATTCATCCCTGATCATATTTTAACAGCAATGCCCTGACAGGTGCACCACACTCAGGCAAAACCCAACTCACTTTCAAAAGACCATTTGTTGAATTCTGAATAGACGTCTTCCATCTGGCCATTGTGATCACAAATCTCATCTATTCTGTACATAAAGTCCTCCAGGACCTAAATGGTGGAGAGAAGAGAGAGAAAAGAAGGGAATAAAATGACATCAAGGAATAAAAATCCGGTGTAACTCAGCATTTCAGCAGCCTTTTGAGCAGATAACAATCTTGCATGAGAGGAATCCTTTTGTTCCCTGTTCTTTGAACAAGATTCAGCTTCCCCCTGTGTGAACAAGTGTTTGGCTTCGACAAGCTCTGGTGCTTCCATGAACTGCGCTGCCCCGGCAGGGATGCAATCCTCACCCCGGGACAGCTGGGCTTTCACAACTCCGGATTAAGGTGTTTGTCACAGATGCTCCTCAACCTCCCCAGGAGCACGGAGGTTAAGGACAGAGGTGTTCCCTGAGGGGAGGAGCAGAAGAATGAAGGGGTAAAGGCAAAAATTACTGCATGCAGGAAAAGCAGGGAAAAGCTGTTTGCAGGAGCCTGGATCCTTATGGAACAATCCTGTTTTTCTGCGGGGACACTCTCAGCTCCAGGTTTCTGTGTGCTCTAGACCCTGGCACTGAGTTTGTACTCATTATTCCCTGAATGTTCTGGGTCTGAACTCGTGGTTTATCACCGTGGAGTAAATAAAGCTGCCCAGATAAACCGGACCTGCTTCAGCTCCCCAGGCTCGCAGGGGAGCAGAGAGAGCAAGGGTTTCTCAGGGCACGGTACCTCATTGATGGCCGTGTCCAGTTTCGCCACCTCCCGGGGCTTCATCAGTTTCTTCTGAAAGGCACTTCTGACCCTCTGCCAGTCCTTTCCCTCCCTGCATCGGAACAACCACGGCGGGGTTGGACAGCGAAAAGCTCCGAGAAGAACGAAAACAGAAAACCCCCAAACCCACACTGCTGATGCTCCACCGCACCGACGGCACCACCGGGGATGCTCGGGGTCGGAACGAGCCCCGGCCACGCTCGGGGCGCACTCCGGGACCCCCGGGACCCCCGCTCCGAGCATCCCCCGGGCACCGGCAGCCCCGCAGCCCTCCGGGCACGGCCGGGATGCTGCGGGCAGCACTCACAGGATGAGCAGCCCGTAGGCTTCGTCGCGATAGTCGCGATAGGCTTTCCAGGGCTTGATCTCGAGGCGCTGGGGGCAGGCGCTCTCGCGGCGGTACAGAGCCTCCAGCAGGCAGGGCGCCGCGATGTGCACCGAGTCGAAGGCGCCCAGCTTCATGCGGAAAATCTTCCCGAAGCGCCGGTGGTACTGAGCCTGGGGAGAGCCAGAAACCCGCCCTGAGTGCGGGGCGCTGCCTGCGCGGCATCCCCAAACCATCCCCATCCCATCCCCATCACCATCCCCATCCCCATCCCCATCCTCATCTTCCTGCCGTCCCCGCCGCCTCACCAGGGTCTCGTGCTGCCTCTTGAGCCCCCCCTTCCAGAGCACGTCGGGCAGGCTGCCCATCAGCGGCCAGCTGGGCGGCCCGGGCAGCGTCTCCGCCGGCCGCAGCGCGCTCAGCGAGGACGCGGCGCGGCCGCAGGTGCGGGCACGGAGCCGCCGGCGGGCCAGGAGGAGGAGGAGGATGCTGCAGCCGCCCATGGCCCCGGTGCCGGCCCCCGGGCGCGCATAGGTGCATTTATAGCAGCCCGAGGTGCTGGACTTTCATCCGCGCCAATGGGAGCCATGGGTGGGGTGAGGTGGGGCGGCTGCCCCGGCCCTGCCCGCAGAGCCCGCGGGGCAGGCGGGTCATGAAAGGGTTCAGGGAGGCAGGGAAGGCACCGCGCCAGCGCCTCCGCCCGCTGGGAGCCGGGGATGCGCGGGTCGGACCGGCCGGGATCCGGGGATGAGGGGATGGGACCGGCCGGGAGCCGGGGATGAGTGAATGGGACCGGCTGGGATCCGGGGATGAGGGGATGGGATCGGGCGGGATCCGGGGATGAGGGGATGGGACCCGCCGGGATCCGGGGATGAGGGGATGGGACCGGCTGGGATCCGGGGATGCTCAGATGGGACCCGCCGGGATCCGGGGATGCTCAGATGGGACCCGCCGGGATCCGGGGATGCGCGGGTCGGTCCCCGGCAGGAGGGGACACAGCGCAGGCAGCGCCTCCGCTCCTTGCCTGGCGTTCGTGCGAGCGGTCTCGTAGCGCTCTCTCTTTTTTTTTCTTTTGTTTTCCTTTTTCTTTCTTTCTTTTTTGTTTAATTTGTATTTTTGTCCGAGCACCCGCGTGAGCACAAAGGGCTGTGGTGTTCATCCTGCAGAGCGCAGAGTAGCTCAGTTTTCCCGCAGCATTTGCACTTTAAAGAGGCTGAATAAGAAAGCGCAGGGAGCTGAGGAGAGAGAAGTTGTGGGGTGTGAACTGCCCTTACCCTCTCTGGCTGAGTAACCAGAAAAGGTCATGTGGGCATCGTCGGGGAAGGCAAAATTCCCTTCTCTGTGAGTGTTGTTAGCCATTGAATCCTGACAAAAATCAGTGCATCCCAGTCTTTTAATCAGAAACTGCACAGAAAAGCTCGAAAAGTTTGAGGCTGAAGCAGCAAGAACAGGTAAAGGAGGAAAAAGGGAAAGAGAAGAGAAGAGAAGAGAAGAGAAGAGAAGAGAAGAGAAGAGAAGAGAAGAGAAGAGAAGAGAAGAGAAGAGAAGAGAAGAGAAGAGAAGAGAAGAGAAGAGAAGAGAAGAGTTGGAGCTAGACAGAGCTACCTGTAATCCAGAGGATTTCCAGGAAAGACAGCTTGGCTACAATGGGGATTTGATTTTCTTGCACCCCATGCTACCTTTCCCTTCTTTCCCAATGCCTTTTGTGAGTCAGCTCTAATCCCCTTCATGTGAGGGTTTGGCAGAAGCAGAGTGTGCAGACACCCTGGGTGTGTTAGACAGAGCATGATCAGAAGATGGATTTGACACATAAATAAACATGTCTCAAAGTCAAATTAATAACAATGCAAAGACCAAGGCTGCAGTGATCAGCAGAGAGAAAACGTACCAAAGAAAAGGAAATACACTGCAGAACTTTTCTGGGAGCTCTGTACATCCTTCCCAAGTGATTTTCTGCAATGGGATCATCCTCTGTGGGCCACAAGGTCAGAGCACTTCCCAGGCAGGCTTTAAAGTTAAAGTTGGTTCAAAGGTTTGTAATTTTTTTTGGGGGGGGGGACACACCACAATGCACAATCACATTCTGTGATGTGTTTGCTTTGCAGCAGTGCTCCTGAAACACATCTCCCTGTCCTTGTAGGCAGCTCAGGCTCCATTCAGTGATGAGCTCTGAGAAACCAGGCAAGAGGAGACAATTTGTGCACTCTGCCTATTTAAGGAATGAGAATGAACTCATTTGAAGGGTCACAGCTTCGTGCCTGTGAAACGATGTCTTTGAAGAGTCCGGAACAGGCAAGTCAAGACTAAACTGGGCACAGGTCAATTTTTCCGTGTTCTTCACAGCTACGGGGAGGAAACCACCCTGTTAATGTGAAATCCTCTCTCTCTGAAGCTGTTTTTGAATGACAGAATGGAAAGGGTTGTGTTTCACTCCTGTGGCTGAGATGCAAGTCCCTGGCAGGGAAGTTGCTGTGCTGGGAGCTGGGACAGAAAATCATTCCTCAATTCCTGCTCAAGTGCAAGTCCAAGGGTGTTGGCAGCCCCCCCTTCTTACCTCATTTTTAAGAGATCTCAAACCCAAGCTTTAATTTTCAGTTGTGACCTTTAGGACATATCAAGGGTTATATTGATGCCTCAAGTTTTAGCAGCAATTTTCAGATTCTGTGCTGCTTTGGTGAGCAGTTCTGAGCTTCACATCAGGGCATGCTGAGCTCTGTGCACAGAGCAGGGACACAAAACAATTCCTGCTCCAGCTGGGCACCAAGGACAAATGACCCAAATCTCAGCCCAAGAGCACAAACCCCGTGGGCTGGAGAGAGAAAAACAAGCAGGGTGGGACTGCAGGGGCTAAAGCTGGGATGGGACAATGAACTGCAAGGTGCAAATGGAGCAGAACTGATCCCAGGGACAGAGCCCGTGCCCGGCCGTGCATTTTGGGGCCATTTTGGTTCATCTTGGGTGCAGCCCTGGCTGGGCTCTGGTGCTGCCCAAGGTGGATCCATGGAGGAGATGCTTGGAATGAATCCCTGCTTTATTCTGTAGCTCCATCCAGCCTCTGCTCTAGCTCAGCCTGCACAAGGCATCAGTTCCAAGAGAAAAGCTGGACCAGTTCAGTGCTCTTGAGCTGAATTTTGGGTTTATAGCTCCATGAGGCACCTGAACTGTGAAGGTGTCACCCCCATCCCACAGGTGTCCATCCACAAGAATTCCCAATGTTTCCCAGCAAATGACAGCTGGGAGGGGGAAATGAAAATCCCTCCTCACTTCTCTGCTATGGCAAGGAGGATTTTTGGGTGCAAGTCCAGGAAATAGCAGGAGATCAAAACTAAAGAGCTGATTTTTCTGTGCTTCTCTTTTGCTCCTGATTTGATTTCTGCTCTCTTGGATGTCAGGAGAGAATATTCCTTGAAAAACCATGTGCCAGTGGGATGCTTCTGAGGGAGATCTGCTGAGCAGGTACACATGGCTGGCTCAGAATTTTTCACCACTAAATATTTAATTAGTCCAAGTTTTAGAGGTGTTTTCTGAGCTGCTTCAATTTCTGGTCATTTTTTTGGGAAATAATTGTAACATATTTGAATAAAGGTTGGAAATCCCATCAAACTCAGAGCTCCTGCCCTGGATTTAAGGGGCTGAGGTGTGCTTGGGAAGCTCATTAAAAACAACTCCTGAACTCCCAGATCAAAACCTTGGAGCTCATGGAAAGTGACCTGAGTGATTTTCATGTAGCTCACTTCAAACACATCAAATATCACCAAAATAACTCCTCAGTGGGAAACAGCTTTATGCTGGGAGTGGATTTTCCCTCTTAATGCCTGTAACTGCAGGAGGTTTCCTCTGTGACATATTACACAATTCCTGCCTCCTGGCCTCAGCTCTTTCTCCTGGTTGGGAAAAGCTTTTTGCCAATTTGGACTTAAAATTTTTTGTGAAATCTCTGAGTTTTCTAAATTAATACAAAGTGCTGAAGTGCCACAGGAGGAGTTTAACAGGGAGAGTGTCACAGGAGGGTATTTCACAATGTGGGGAAGGCAAATGGATTGCAACTTGCAAGCTCTGGTTGTTATTGCGGGGTTTGTTTGTGTTTGTTTATACACTTTTAATTCCCTGTTAATTCTTTTAATTCTCTTTCCAGCTGAGGATCTTTGAGTTTTGTAAATATTGATGGGAAAGTACAGTAATTCCCATTCTCCAGAAGAGAAACAGAAATGGCTTTGAAAGCTGAGATCTCCAAGTTATCCATGTTCGCTGTGAAACGAAAGCAAAAGGAACCTTTATTCTATTTTCACTCAAATACTGGTTTTTAGCACCAAACTCCTCTTCTTATCTCAGCTTGTGGATGATTGCTCCTCTCCAAGATGACAGTAGCAGTGGATGGAAACTCAGATTCCTGCAGCTGGCCATGCCCTGTTGGAGATGTCCACCTCAGCCATCAACATTGCCACACTCCACCACTGAGGGAGCCTCTAAATCAGCGCTTCGAGAAAATGAAGAGGTCTCTTGACTTAAATCAAGCAAAGATTGCTTAAAAAAAATAAAAACTGGACCATCTTTTTGGTGAAGAAACATTTATCAGCTGCTTTAGATGAGCAAGCAATGGTTCATGCACTGCATCCTCTGGAGAGGAGCTTAGGGGGAAAGTCAGGGAGAAAATGGTGAGAGCAGAGCAAGAAATCGAGGTCCAGGACAAGATGCTCTGACAGCCAGCTTGGAGTTACTCAGGACTTGGCAGGTTTTGAATTTTTTTCTGGAAATTCGAGTCACTCTCTGGGATGTTACAGTGTCTTGTCTATTTTAGCAATATTGCCCTGCCTGAGCAGGGAGGGGAGGTGAGGGGTTTGTGCAAGAGTTACCGTCCCAGGCTGAATATTTCTCTTTGAACAGGAGGCTGGAAGCTTTTGTATTTATTTATTTTTAAAAGCAGCAGCATTTAGGGATCCCTGGAAGTGTCCCAGGCCAGGTTGGAAGGGTTAGTGGAAGTTGTCCCTGAACCTAATGAAATTTAATATCTGATGTTGGAGAGGTGTGGATGTAGAGGAGGCTGGAATTGTGAATGGTGAAATGGTGAGGTTGCTTTGGACTAACACGAGGTATTTTGAAAGAATGAGGGTAGAGAGGTGAGAAAGTCTGCCTTCCTTCCCTCAGATTACAAAGTAATGAAAAAATCCTCACTGGGGGATTTGCCATATAAATAAATAGGAGCTGTCTCATTAAGGTCCTTTTTGGAAAAGAAGAACACCCTTAGAAAAGGAATTTTTTTCCTTCAACCTCCATTCCCCCTGCAATGCTGGTACAAGAAGGGCAGACACAAGGACTGCACTCCACAATAAATCCCAAATATTGGGAATGTCATAGCACTGCCACCTCCTTTACCATACTGGCAGAAATGAACCAGGACAAATTTGTGTGGCTTTTGCCCAGTGTGATCCCCTTCATTCCAGGCTAAACCTGGAAAAACACCGCTTCATCCACATTCCCAGGGACCTGGAATTCACAAACCATG